AAGTAGTGCTATAATAATTTGGTAAAAGAACTGCTCAACCGTAAAAGCTCTCTATTACTGTTGCTTGAACACCAAAATGCTGGCTTAATGTTAAGTGGAATGCAAATTTGCTTTCTGCAGCATATTTACTCTTAAATGAGGTGTTTAAAATATTCTTGACTTTTTAACGTTATTTTATCATAAATAATTAAAAATGCATCGAAATATCTCAAAAACGGCTAACTATAACGAAAACTCACAGAAGAGCTTTTTTATGCAAAAAAGTGCGATGAATTAAGAAATAATTGTCGGTCATTTTAATACACTACAGGTACAGTAGAGAGCGCCCTCTAGCGGCTACAGTAAAACTATGCCCATGGTTCGTTTGGTCGTACCAAAAAAGCCTTGTATACCAATTTTCACTGTTATACATCAAATATTTCGAAATATTTAAAAAAAACTATTTTAGAAAGTAAATTTAAGCACCCTGTATTTCGGAAGCCACGCATTTTTCGACCCATGTTTATATAGACTTTATGCATTAATTTTAAAAGTTCTATCGAATCTTAAAGTTATGCAACAATAAACTGAAACACCCTGTAGAATAATTATGAAGCGAATTCTTCGGCCTCCTGATTATCTTGCTTTGATGCATATGAAAGCTCTGTTTGAACAGCAGTGATGGTAAGCCGTTTCTGAAAAAGCAGTACCTACGTTCTCATACTATGGGTAAAAACCTCCCAAGTAGCAACAAACAATTAACCGCTCGTTGGCGATTGTTTTGTTTTCCGCTATATACGCAGTAGTATTTCCTCGGCGGTTTTTCTCCATTAACACGGCTATCTGTAAGATCCCGCGGTCTCCGTATCGGACCAATTATCTGACGATTAACATTGGTCCTCGTTCTGGCATCGGCAGTGCTGGCCATCGCCAAGAATATAACATAGATCAGTCGAGAGAAGACTTTTTAGCAAGAATAAGAACACTTTCTAGAGGAAAATGTTGTATCTTTCGATATTCAAACAGCTCCAAAACCAAGGTTTATTTAGATTTCGTTGGAAAGAGGTTAATTTATAGCGAGAAACTTTGCTTAAAACATTTGACAGAAGGTATGGCTGGCGTCAAGCGTCTGGCGGTGCTGAATATTACTATGTAGCAAGTATTTTCAAATAAATTGTATGATAACTATTAGAACGTAAACATTATTTCGGGAGAGGAAATCATGTCAATCCTTGTATTCAATTATTCTATACATTTTAATTCTTTATGAAATTGTAACTTGTAATTTCTGGGTTAATTTTTTTTCTTTTTTTTCTGTATAGGAATTTAACATACGTGATGTAAATTGTATAGAAACACACTAGAGGTTTCTAACGTGGAGGAAAGTATTGGAGTGGTAAAAACATTTTCCATGCTATATTATCAAAAGATCTGCAGTTTAAGAAAACACATTGATGAGGCCAAAATATTATTTGATCAAATGAACTGTGAGTACGATTGCATTATATTTACAGAAACATTCATTATACCAGACACTAGTCTCTTTCACCTATCAGGTTACAACATGATCTATAACAATGGTGAATTTAACAGAAATGATGGGGTGGTGGTATATTTAAAGATAAACTTTGACTACGTATATAAAATCATAAATATTGGTTACTGTAAAGCAATACAAATTCAAATATTTCTGAACAAGTCAAACAAGTTATTATTACTTCATGTAGGTCGCCATCAGCCAGTGAGGAAGATTTCATAGAAAATCTTGAAAAATACCTACAACAAACAAACAGTTCCAAAGTCTTTTCTCATATTCTGGTAGGGAGGTTGAATGAGTAGAATAATAACACCCACAATTACCTAAATACCTGTATCTTGAGCGAACACAACTTCATATCTATGATAAATAAAAATACGAGAATGCATGGTAATGTAGCCAATTGTATTGACCATACTTTTTTAAAATCTAATGTGACAAATTTTGAGAGAAATTGTATCTCCATGGTTTTGGGAAATCACATAACTGATCATAAAGCCACAATCCTAGGGATACCAATAGATAAGGTAGAACATCATGCGAATACTTCTGTTAGATAAATTCAATATATCAATTATAATGGCCTAAGAGAAGACCTAGTAAATATAATTGGACCAATTATTACTCTGAAAATAATGTTAACATTTTGGTTAGCCAACTAAGTGACATATTAATTGAATAGGCGCGAGATCAAGCGAAAGCCTTGGATTACATCAGGTATTGTAAATTCTGTTAATAAAAAAATCGTCTATATTCTGAGTACTTGATGCAGCCAGAAAATGATCAGGTGAGGATAAGATATCTGGAATATAAGAAAACAATAGAAAAACTCATACGAAATGCTAAATACAATCTGTACAAGATACAAATAAATACAAACAAAGATACTCCTAAGAACTTGTGGAACGTAGTTAATAAACTCTGTAAAGGCAGTTCTAAATGGGCAGTTAAGGAAATAGTTGATGAAAATAAATTATGTGATTCGCCAATAGCAATTGCGAACAAGATTAACGATTTCTTTGTAAATATTGGCAAATACTATGCTGAACGCATTGTGAGACCAAACAAAAATTGATCGCAAAGGAAAATAAATCAAAGTACATTTTTCTTAGAGGCGGTAGATGTAACTGTTTTGACAACTTCCGAAATATTTAAATATACTGCTCACATTATTTCAATGCCACTATGTCACTTATCAACCGGATTTATATTTCTAATGAAGTCCCAGAACGGTTCAAAGTAGCTTTAGTTACACCTGTCCATAAAAAAGATGTAAAAAGTATAAATAACTATAGACCAATATCTGTCATCATAATTATAGCTAAAATATTTGAGGAAACATTGAAAAATAAGCTAGTTAAATTTTTCGACAAATGTAAATATCTTTCATATAAGCATTTCGGCTTTCGAGAGGGAATATCGACCAAAGATGCAATTGCTAAGTTAACAGAAGAGATTAGAAAAAGATTAGGATTGAGTACACCGGTACTATGCGTATTCTTGGATCTTGCCAAGGCCTTCGACACTGTGAATTACCAGCAGATGTTGGAGACCTTGGAGGATGCAGGAGTACGAGGCGGACCTTTATAGCTGTTTACAAGCTATCTCTCAAATCGAAAACAAGTAGTGAAGATTAGTGACAGATTCAGTAATGAAAAGACAGTTGATTACGGTTTACCTCAGGGTACTGTGTTGGGTCCAATCTTGTTTACAATTTACATAAACAGCATTCTAACTTCTTCGTCAGTTGGACAAGTGTTTAGGTTTGCAGATGATATGGTAGTCCTGTATGATGATAACACTTGGGAAAATGTAAAAATTAAAGCAGAGCGGGATCTAGGAACTATTTTTGATTATTTTGCTCATAAACTTTTAACCGTGAGCTATGAGAAAACATTCTTTATGCCGTTTTCTAATACAGTACGTTGTCTACCTCAGTATGAACAACTTTTAATAATTCAAAATATATCTTTAACATCTGTGAAAACCTATAAATACTTAGGTGTCACCATTGATCGCCACTTGAGATGGGATGTTATATATATATATATATATATCTATCATTACAAAAACCTTACCACAACTCTTATATCGCTTTAAATACTTAAATCATCGCATAGACTACATGCACCTGAAAATGTTGTATTATTCATTAGTTGAATCACGTCTACGATATGCTACATATTTTGAGTTGGGGAAGTACCGCATATTGTTATTTGCGGCCTCTGGATATACTGCAAAAAAAAATGTTGAAAGTAATATCTGGCAAAAAAATTACTTATCCTTCTGATAAATTATTTTCAGAGACTGGAGTGTTTGGCTAAGACAACTGTTTCTGCATGAATTAATTCAATTCATATACAAACACAAAGCAACTTCAATAAAACTAGCCATGCTTATAGTACTAGATATAAAGAAAATGAAAACTTAAAAATACAAACTTTTCAAAGAAATGTAAGCTTGCGATGTCACACCTACCTATCATGCAAAATTTATAATTGTTTGCCATACGTGTACCGTATGTATGTTGATAAAATAAACTCATTGTCTTTGATAAAATCTTTGTTTAAAAAATATATTTTTTTTAATTGGTAGACAAGGGACACGAAATCTAATAGTAATTATTTACTAGAAATCGTACTGCGCTAGTATTACTCCTCACCCTCCATAATTCTGTAGTTAGTGGAATAAACTTTATTATGTAAGTGCAACTCCTCCTTACCTTCCATACTTACAATGTACTTGTTGTATAAAATCCTGCTCTAAGCAAAATTTATTATCAAAATTATATCAGAAAAAATCTGCCCATGCACAACCATTTTGGTTTCAATGTGCTTTACAAGACAATTTAAAAACTTTCTGTGACTTATAAAACATGTTAACTTAAGATTACTTTGTGAAAGTCAGGTATTATGTTTTATTTTAAGTTTATTATTGTACTGAAGTTAGCATTTGTATTTATTAACACATTGTATTTTGGGGGAAAAAATAAACGTATACTAGTACTAAAGCCAGCCAACAGAATTTTACTTTCTGGCACCAGCAATCCACGGGGCCTTCATAGATTACGTCACGCAACTATGGAATAAACTCATCCAGTGATATGGTGAGCATCGTTGCCCTTGATATCATCAGCTGTGGCATGCTGCCCTCTTATGCAAGTTTCCATCCTATAGCCTCCCAGATTAGCTTCGCAGATGGGTGGCTCAATCTCTGGCCGCAAGATATCCGTCGTAACTGACGGTTTTTTCGCTTCAACCCACAATATCAACGCTGGTTGGTTTTCACTGCTTTGGTACGCAACAATCTGGTACTGTTTAATGCTTCCAAGACACAGTACTACCCTTGATTAAACAAGAAGTGTCCTAGCCCATGATAAAACGCGTTCATGCCAACTCATATTGTCGGTAGATTGAGCTCACTCCATTTGGAGCGCGAATTACTTCTTGTCAAAGATGAGTCTTTGAAGCAACTTATCGCTTACCTGTAAAAACGTATTGACCTGTGATGTAAAACTGGAAAAGTTAAAAAGCAAAATTTAATGTTTTTGGATATGTAAGAAGGAAAACCAAATCCAACTTTTTCAGAAAAGTGGGGGGATCCAAATACAGCTTACAGTGATGCACTTTCAACTAAGTGCTTTCTTGCATATTGTGGATGTTTTTATTTGGCCAAACTAATCTATCGGGTAGTAGTACCATTTTCTGTACACGTTCCATAGTGAAACACAGGAAAAGTCATGACGCGTTTTTCTTTATTACAAGAGCAAACACTTTTGACTTCTGTGTTTGAAATGGAACATTATGCAACAAATTATGACACGTGACTTCACAAGATGCTTTTATTTTTATTACTTTGTCAGCGACAGTATCGACTAGACTGTACTGCTTGTTGTCTGTTCACTACCCGCAGAGATCTAGTTCAAGTTTTTGCGAGTACCGGGAGCGCAGAGCCGGTACAATTTTTCTCAAAACTGGTGCTGGACAGAGTCAACGATCGAGGCATATATAGGCAGTACTGGGTAAGCTGTCATATCTCTACTGTAAAATACATGGAAGGTGTGAAAACTACGCATGGGAATGTACTTTTTATCGCGTGCTATGAGCTGCAGCACTGAGAATTATGATTGTATGGAATAAAACGGTTTTGAGCGAAGCTCATCTAAATCTCTTTGGCTAGAGCTGTATAGAGATTTATGAGTGTCTCATCCAAATCCTCCCTAAATTCAATTTTCGGTCCATCTTACCCATTTACCTTCCATGCCATTAGATAAGAGAGCGTAAACGTGAACAATTGTGATAATGAGATATGCTTCTTTCCAAGACACTTATTTTGGTCCGTCGGCCCGTGTGCCTGTCTAATCTCATAAACCCTCTATAAGTAGGAAAGAACCGCTCGGATTTTGATGATATTTTCGTACAACGTACAAGTAAACAAGGTCGAGTTCGGCCCTGCATTTTTAAGCCGTCCATCTAGTTTTGCTTTACTCTTTTATTGTGAAAGATTTCAACAAAATCGATTCAGCAGTACCTGGGTTATTAAAGGTTTGGCAGAATTTTGAACATTTTTATTTTCACGTATGAAAAGGTCTCGGTCCACACTACCCACCATTTCACTATGTCCACTTACGTACGGAATACCTTGTACAGTCAATCTTTAATAATAATAATAATAATGATAATAACAGTGAAAAATGAAGTACGTGGAGACAATACCAATAATAATGTCACCTACAGGGGTGATACCAAGAAGTCTGCTGGAAAACATCAAAGCGCTGGAATTGAGTGAAAACGTTTACAAAATCATGCAGAAAGGAATTTTGCTGGCAACTGCCCGCATTAGAAGAAAATTTATGGGAAACCCAAGTACCTAGTGAGGTCACTATTGAGGCTTATCTCTTTATTGCATCATTAGCATCACAACATTAAAAAGTATGATGCAAATGGCAGAGTCTAGCCATTGGCCAATCTACTCAAACAACATTTGGACATAAAAAAAGTCTAAATTAAGTATACTATATACCTTATACTGTAAACTATAGTAATGTCTGTTACTGTATACTTGATAAAGTATTAAATGGTTCTAAAATTTTTGTAGCGCTGCTTACATAAAATATTTTCAAGATTCCTTATCAAATTTTGGAAATAATTAATAATTCACATAACCGCCTTTTTGTTTTAAAACTGCATGTTTTAGAGTAGTACTGAACCTTGTGGTACTCCTGGAAGAATATTCCGTAAATTTAAAATACTAGTGCCCAGAACCACCTTTTACTAGCTGTATGTAAGATACTGACGCTAGAAAAAGTAGTGCCAGTTTATCAAATCCAAGATAAGTACATTCGGTTAGAAGTGGATCATGACTTCTGGTGTCAAATGCCTTACTAAAATCGGGAGAGACAGGTCGTTATCCAAATTGAAGATTATATCATCAACATATAGCAGATAGTGCAGAAACAGTGCTACGTCTTTTTAGAAAGTCAATCTGCTCCTCAGGCTTGTTAGTACAAGTAAACTTTAAAATTTGTTTGTAGATAATTTTCTACAAGAATACTTTGGAAAGAACTGGTAAAAGGCTGATAGGTCTTAAGTCACTAACTTGTTCTAGATTGTTTGTTTTTGGACGTCACCTCACTAGCGGCACCTTCCTTAGTTGTGGAAAATATCCTACCTCTACGGAGAAATTTGGAAAGTGAAACTAGAAATGCCTGGGAGGCATGGTCTTATCATTTGAACATATACGCCATCCACTCCTCGAGCAGTAGATTATAATTTATTAATAGCATCAAAAACATGATGTGTATTGATAGTTCTTAAGCTAAATCTTGTTGATTAGTGAGTTTTATATTTGAATAGTGCTTAATTTTATCTTCACATGCTAAACCATTCGAATTAAAAACAGATGCAAAATTGATAAGATTCAGATCAGTTATCCCACCAGGTATCCCCCTTATATTAGAAGTCTGCATCCTCACTGATTTTAAAGCTTTATAAAAATGATTTGGGTTGTTTTACTTACTTTGAGTTTAAGATAAGACTTTTCTCTTTTATAATTTGCATTTTTCTTGATTCAAAGAAAGCTTTCGACACAGTTAATCACAAATTATTATTAGAAGCATTGGAGAGAATTGGTTTCAGAGGAAATGTGTACTCACTGATCGAAAATTATTTGTCAAATCGCCCACAATCTCTGCAGATATCAGGATCGTTTAGTAAAGAAATGTATATTAAGTGTGGTGTCCCACAAGGAACTGTCTTAGGTCCGCTATTATTTAATATATATTTAAATGATATTTACCAAATTAATTGTGTTGGCAAAATAACCAGTTTTGCAGATGATACTGCAATATTATATGAAGGCACTGACTGGTCTGATGTGAAAAAAGTAATTGGAAATGATTTTATCAAAATTATTCGGTGGTTTAACAGTAGAAAATTAAGCATTAACTATTCTAAAACACATTTTTTACCATTTGGATGTTATGCTAGACATCTGCCAAATTACAAAAAATGTTCCTTCAACATTAATGATCAAAAAATGCAAATTACTAACAACATAAAATAGCTTGGAGTGGTCTTGGATCCTCACTTCCGATGGGACATCCATGTCAATTATATTTTAAAGAAAATTAGATTTGTATCCTACAAAATTAAATACCTTGGGAATGTATTGACAGAAAAATATCTTCGAACATTATACCATGCACTGATTGAGCCTCATCTCACATATGGTATATTAGCGTGGAGAGCTGCATGTTCCTCACATATCTATAATTTAGATGTTTTTCAAAAAAGTATTCTAAAAATGATATTTAAAAAACCGAAACTCTATCCCACTGACAAATTATACGCAGATGTTCGGATGTATGATATAAGACAGCTTTATTTCTTACACAGTATCACTCACGACCATAAATTTGTAAACACCGACCAAAAAATTTAACGTAATCATTATAGAAGGTACAAAATTCGTGGCACAATAGTTCCTCAGCCGCATAAATCTATAATGCAGCGGTTATCTCTATTTAGTGTCAAAATTTGATGAAATTATACCTAAAGACTTAAAAGATTTACGTTTCGGAAATTGTTTCAAAAGAAATTTAAAAAAGTGGCTACATTCTGTATCTAGGATTGAAATTCATAGACTCATAAATACGAACATCAAGTAAATACATAGTCTACTGTAGCTAATTTTGTCCTTTTTTGTCAGTTGCATTCTACAGTTACAACATAAAATTATTCGTCCATGTACAGGCGATGCCTTCTATTGGGCCTGTTTTGATTTTATATTTATTTACCGATATTGTTTCTTATCTTGTACATTGAGTGAATAAATATTATTATTATTATAAGATTTGATTTACATTGGTTTCTTAAAACTCTATAGCTTTCCAATTTCCATTGTTGGTACATTGCTCAAATTTCGATAGAGCTTTGTATCGCTTTTTTGTCAATGAACGCAAGTTTCGTGGCGCCACGGTGATAAACTGAAGCTCTCATATACAATCTACGAACTTTCTGCTATATACTGTAAGAAAACCAGATTATGAGATCTTAGTTGGATATATGCACTGTATCGGTAGCATAACATTTCCTCCAGCACCTCTGAGCTCAAGGCGGTTTAGGTTAACTACACCCGATGGAGTTTGCCGAAGGACGCACACTAGGCACGTTAATTCCTATGTTAACCAAAGCAAACTCTTCATCTTCTAAGCTGGGATCTGTCACGTGGAACATCCGTTGTATTATTCTTGCAATCATTGTATTTACAAGTCATAAATTACTTGCAGCCTCCAATTACAACTGCTTCTTTCTAACATCTTTTGTCTTACGATACACTGTCTATCATTAGGAAGCGGATTGTTTGTAATTTATACTCCGAGATACTTGCTGCTATCGTTTGATATTATGCTTGTATTTTTAAAGTCATATCACTACCGATTGTGGTTGGACAGTGGGTTTTTGCAGACACAGGTATGTTTTAAAAGCAAGAGTTTTAGTTAATTTTAAACTGCACTCCAAAGTTATAAACTGCTCTTTAGTCTGGCACTTACTTCTGATTTGTAAACGCCAATGAGAGGAATGAGCCTGTATAAGCCTTGCATTGCCCAGATATGCCGATAAACGACCGTTGATTGGTTCATATGTTGAATTATTTTCACTAGGTTCTGATTTGTAAATATCAAGATTCTTCTTGAATGACCCTGTATGAGCCTTACAGTCATCGGTCATGCTTTTCGTGGTGGCATAGCAATTTCTTATCTTCGATTTCCTATTGCACAGACATGCCTTGTAGAAAACTCCCCGGATTGGTTCAAATGCCTAATTATATCCACTAGCTCTTGATTTATGGATGTCAAGGGGATGAGTGTCCTGTATAAGCCTTGCGAACGTTGGTCATGCCTTTAGCAATTCCTGATCATCGAATTGCTATTGCCCAGATATGCCTGGAAGAAACCTCTGTTGATTGGTGCGTATGTAGAATTACGAAGTCTGTAAATTAAGTGATGAGACTGATTTTTTTCAAGTATAATTACAATTTTATATTATCACCCTCAAAATAACTCCCTTCTGAAGCCACACAGCGCTGGAAGCGGTTCTTCCACTCCTCATAGCAGTGCCAGAAGTCCGATACTGAAATAGCCTTCACATGGTCGCTTTCAGCCTTGAGGTGGTTTTTCAACTACCGTATAAGGCGAATAAGGAGGCTGAGAAGTCACAGGAATATTTTTACTGGCCAAAAACTCGTTTATTAACATTGCTGTGTGACCGGAAGCATCATCGAGGTGCAACACATACTCGTAATTGTTCTTGATTTGATGAACGGTGGTGTGAGTCAAATTTAACTCGCCCCGGTCATTTTGACTGTCAGCCGACTGTCTGAATGCACAAGATTCCAGATTCTGTCGATATTTTTGTCGGTTCTTGAAGATGAAGGCGTTGGGCTTCGTGGTTCATCTTCAACCGACTCTCTGCCTTGTGAAAATGCCTTCAACCACCGAAAATCCTGGGCTCTTGACCAAACACTATCTTCGTAGGCCTGTTGGATTTAACAAAAGTTTCCGTTGCACAGTGTCCAAGTCTGAAGCAAAATGTGATAGCACACCGTTGATGTCACTCATTTTTAGAACACAATATTAAAAACTGTTTCACAACAAAAATCACTACGGACAGCCAAATGACTCGAGCGAGTTCCAACTGAAGGTGGATAATATGTTCCCCTATCTCCCCTCCAAGTCCGGCGTCTCCAATGTTGCCAGATCAGACGCCACGTTGCCAGTGCCATCACTTAATGTACAGACCTCGTATGCTCACTAACTTTTGATTTGTAAATATCAAGAAGATGAATGACTCTGTATAAGCCTTGCGGTCATCGGTCATGCCTTCCTTCACGGCGGCATGGCAGTCCTGATCTTCGACTCCGACCGCAGCAGCCGGTCGCCGGCCGTTCGGTCGAATTTCTGGTCCAGATTCTCGATAATATAACAGGTTGGCCTGCCAATTAGGAGATGTCCTCCGGTCACAGACATTTTATTGCTGGCCTCTTGCCTCTCCATGCCCCCATGCTTCCTCTCCCTCCCTGAACGGCCTTTCGCTCCCTTCACCTGCGACCTACCGCTGACGCGAGCATCGGCGAGCAGTGGCGGACAAGTAGTAAGTTCAAGAAGCTACAAGTTGCTGATAAGACGAATAGGAAGCACAAAACGCCAGAAGTACACGCCACTTTTTTTGGTCACAACCCAGCTTTAGGAAACTGGCATGTGAATACAAATGTATCGTAGCAGGACATGCAGTTAAGAAAGGACGATACTGGCTATTTGCTCAAAGTGGCTTCACCTTGTTGTCACCTATCACATAAAATACATCTTTGTAAACAGTAAAGTTTCCGGTGGCAATGTACTCGTATATAGGGTGGGTCGTTTAAGATTTGGAATTTTAATCGGCTGAAGGGATTAATTATAGGGTGCTTCAGTTTATTGTTGCATAACTTTAAGATTCGATAGACCTTTTAAAACTAATGCATAAAGTCTATATAAACATGGGTCGAAAAATGCGTGGCTTCCGAAATACAGGGTGTTTAAATTTACTTTTTTAAATAGTTTTTTTTTAATATTTCGAACAATATTTGATGTATAATAGTGAAAATTGGTACACAAGGGTTTTTTGGTACGACAAAACGAACCATGAGCATAGTTTTACTGTAGTCGCCAGAGGGCGCTCTCTACTGTACCTGTAGTGTAATTAAAATGACCGAAAAATTTTTCTTAGTGCAAGTTTTTGCTTTTTGAATAAAAAAATGATTCTTCGCACTTTTCTGCATAAAAAAGCTCTCCTGTGAGTTTTCGTTATAGTTAGCCGTTTTTGAGATATATATTTCGATTTTTAAGGTTCGATGCATTTTTAATTATTTATGGGAAAATAATATTTTTTTTTACATTTTCGATTTGGGCATTACAAGTAATTAAGATGATCGTTTAGATTGTGTTTCTAAACACAGCATTAATTCCTAACTCCAAATAAACCCAAAAAAAAAAGAATATTAATTTGTTTAATTTTCCAATATTATTATTAACAAATTAAATTAATTATTTACAACTAAAATGCTATTGGATAGTTAGGACAAACATACAAAATCTAAAGTAGTTGCTCGAAATGTAAACCCAATTGTTCAATACACAATTCACATCTACGAATGATCGAACGTGGTATAGCACTATTCAAATAAGGCCTTATTTCATCACATACATTCCTGATTCTGTCTATTAGCATATCTCTTGTGGTTACGGGAGTCTGATACACTTTTTCTTTTAGAAATCCCCACACAAAGAAATCTAATGGATTTAGGTCAGGGGATCGTGGAGGCCAGGCGACTGGTCCTCCACGGCCGATCCATCTTTCTGGATAATTTTCGTCCAGCCAGTTTATTCTCGAATAATGAGCTGGACAACCATCAAGCTGGTACCAGGCCAATCTTCTTAAATCTAACATAACATCATCCCACATATTTGCATGTTCAGCCTTTAAAAATTCCAAGAAGGTCGCAGCATTTAACCTTGCAGGCAAAAGGTAGGGTCCAAATAGTCGATTACGGTAGATACCAATACACACGTTCACACTAAATTCATTCTGAAAATTTCTTTCCCGAACTGCATGCGGATTTTCATGCGACCAAATATGTTGATTATGAAAATTTACCACTCCACGTCTAGTGAAGCATGACTCATCGGTCCATAAAACGTTACTTAAAAACTTCCTATTATCATCAGTTCTAACAAGAATCCACTGACAAAATGTGATTCTTCGTTCTCCGTCCCCTGGTTGTAGTCCTTGCACATGTTGCAAATGGTAAGGACGTCTATGGTCATTTCTAAGAACACGGTGAACATGGCTTGCTGAAATTCCCAAGGCACCAAAAACTCTCTTAACACTTGTGGTCGGATCTCTATCAAACTCACGCAGAATCATACGGGTAAATCTGCGCTGACGAACATTTATGTTTTGATCCCTTTGGAGATTTCCAAAAACATTTTCAATTATTTGGCGATGCGCTCTTACAAATACTGAGCGAGTTGGATGTCGTCTGTTTGGAAATCTTCGTGCGTTTTCTCTGGCTGCTTTTGCTGCGTTTCCATTTACAAAGCCATACACAAAATGAATATCCGCTAACTCTTGATTGGAGAATAAAAATGGCATTTTTATAAAACTTACAAAAAAAAACAGGTAAAAGAAACTAAATTTCGTGCATTCACAATTGCAAAAAAACGTTTCAGGTTTCAACAGACAACAAAACTAACTGTCAACTAATTGACGTTTAACCTTATTATGCTTCCAATTTCAAAAATATTCTAAAATTCTATTCTATTCTAAAAATTATCGAGATACTGACTTTTTAACGTTATTTTCAATTAAATTCACAAGAGAGCTTTTTTATGTTGAAAAATGCGAAGAATCAATTTTTTTCTTCAAAAAGCAAAAAATTGCACTAAGAAAAAACTTTCGGTCATTTCAATGCACTACAGGTACAGTAGAGAGCGCCCTCTAGCGGCTACAGTAAAACTATGCCCATGGTTCGTTTTGTCGTACCAAGAAACCCTTGTACACCAATTTTCACTGTTATACATCAAATATTGTTCAAAATATTTTAAAAAAAACTATTTTAGAAAGTAAATTTAAACACCCTGTATTTCGGAAGCCACGCATTTTTCGACCCATGTTTATGTAGACTTTATGCATTAATTTTAAAAGTTCTATCGAATCTTACAGTTATGCAACAATAAACTGAAACACCCTAGTTATTTATTATACATGGAAAAAATGTTCGGATTTGTCAATACAACCTCAAGCTAAAATCTAGTACTTTTCCCGTGTATAATACACAATTTTTTTCTGTGACGGGAAAAAAGACGTATTGAAAAATTATAGTATTACTTATAGCGACAATTAGACCTACGTTGCTAAAGAAACTTTTAAAGTAAACAAACAGCTGTCAATTTAATTTTGTGATTTGACTTAAAAGTTGTGAGCTTAGTGGTTGTTTAGAAGTTATTTTGAATACTATAAAGTAGAAAATGTCTGATTCAGAGTTTTTTTTGACTCCACCGGAATATTAGTAGAAGTAGCCAAAGTAGCGTAACAAAAATTATTGCCAGCTAAATCGCGGAAAATTTACGAAACTGCATATTCAAGATTCATGGAATGAAAGATGAAAAAAACATGCAGTTCTTTGTCGGAGGCGGTGTTATTGGCTTATTTTTCGGAAT